TCACTCACTCATCCACTCATTCATTCACTCGCTCATTCACTCACTTATCCACTCACTCATCCACTCACTCATCCACTCACTCACTCATCCACTCACTCACTTGTTCACTCACTCATTCACTCACTCATCCACCGTTTACTTATTCTTTCATTCATTCCTTCACTCATTCATTAACCACGTTTATGGTGTTTTTCTTGCACCTCCAGCCCTACACTAGGCACAGGGGCTAAACTTCAGGGGTTTGTTGCCCCCCTGGCCCCAGGGGCCAAATTGAAATTAGGCCAAGGCTGAGCTGATGCGCTGTGTCTGAGGCAAATTGGGCATGGCTGGACCTGTTGGGTCACAGAGATGAAGGACCTGGTCCTCCCAACAACCCCAGCTCCACACGGTGGTTCTGCTGCATGACATGCCAAGCGCTTCTGCTGAGGGGGTGGGATGCCTGTGAGGACTCAGGGAGGGGTCCTGGAGGCAGGAAGACCTGGGACAGGAGGACCCTGGCTGCTGGACGTGTGGCCTGCAGGGTGTGGGGGGCCACCAGGTGTGGGCTGGGGTCTCTAATGCCCTGATGCCCCCCTTCCCCACAGAACTGCATGTTTGACACCTGCAACTGTGAGCGGAGCGAGGACTGCCTGTGCGCCGTGCTGTCCTCCTATGTGCATGCCTGTGCCGCCAAGGGTGTGCAGCTCAGTGGCTGGAGGAACGGGGTTTGCAGTGAGTGCCCACCAAGCCCAGCCCTTTTCCTACACTGGGTGGCCGCGGATATTGGGGTGCCCCCGGGTCTTGGGGTGCCCCCAGTGTGCACAGGTGCTCTAAGGGTCCCCGTCCTCTGTGCTGGGCTCGAGGGCAAGGAGCCCCCAGGTCAGTGTGACCTTGGACCTGGCCGAGGAAGGGAGGGGAGGGTAGCTGAGAGGGTTGGGGTCACTCGCTGCTGGCTGCCCACCGCTGGGCTTTGTGTCCTGAGAATTCCCTCTTCCTGGCATCCTGCAGCAAAGCCCATGACCACTTGCCCCAAGTCGATGACCTACCACTACAATGTCAGCACCTGCCAGCCCACCTGCCGCTCTCTGAGTGAGGGGGACATCACCTGCAGTGTTGGCTTTATCCCGGTGGATGGCTGCATCTGTCCCGAGGGCACCTTCCTGGACGACACGGGCAAGTGTGTGCAGGCCAGCAACTGTCCCTGCTATCACAGGGGCTCCGTGATCCCCAATGGGGAGTCGGTGCACGACAGTGGGGCTGTCTGGTAAGAGCTCCTGCTGTGGACTGGGGGTCCCTGGCACCTGCTGGCCCAGGGTGAGGCTCTGACCACTGTCTCCTCACAGCACCTGCATACATGGGAAGCTGAGCTGCATCGGAGGCCAAGCCCCCACCCCAGGTGAGTGCCAGAAAGGAGGCACTGGGGACCCCAGCCTCATCATCTCCATAAGAAATCCTGAAAAACGGCTTCAGGGTTAGTCCCACCGCAAGTCAACGGGGCTGGTGGTTGTTGATCAGCCGCTCAGTGTCAGGCATGGTTTGTGCCCTCTGGGCAGCAAGCGGGAAGAAAGGAGGGTGTGGGCGCACACATGACACACCCACTCACGCCCACTCATGCACATGCTCACACATCCACTCTTGCACACACACTCACACCCACTCATGTGCACGCACTCACACCCACTCATGCACACACACACCCATTCATGCACACACACACTCATGCACATGTTCACACACCCAATCATGCACACCCCCTCACACCCTCATGCACATGCACACCCACTTATGCAACACACACACCCACTCACTCACACACTCGCACCCACTCGTGCACACACGCACTCATGCACATGCACTCACACCCACTTATGCACACACACCCATTCATGCACACACATATGCACATGCTCACACACCCACTCATGCACACACAGCCACTCATGCACACGCACTCACAGTCACTTATGCAATGCCCACACACCCACTCATGGACATGCTTACCCACTCATGCATATGCACTCACACCCACTCATGCACACTCACACACTCATGCACACTCACACCCTCTCATGCATCCACACCCACTCATGCACACGCACCCACTCATGAATATGCACTCACACCCACTCATGCACATGCACTCACACCCTCTCATGCACGCACTCACCCACTC